TAGGGGGGTAGGAGCAAGAGGTTCAGAGTGTGAGAGGCTGGGGCCTTCAGACTGGGGCAGGGGGTTGGGGTACGGGAGGGGGTGAGGGCTCCGGTTGGCAGTGTGAGCTCTGGGTGGGGCCAGAAATGAGGGGTTCAGCGTGTGGGAGGGGCTCTGGACTGGGGCAGGAGGTTGGGGGGCAAGGGGGTGATGGCTCCAGCTGGGGGTACAGGCTCCAGGCAGGGGGTTTGGGGTGCAGGAGGGGGCTCAGGGCTGGGGCAGGCTGGTGAGGTGCAGGAGGGGATTTGGGGTGCAGGCCCCGGGCAGCGCTTACCTCAGGCCACTCCTGGGAAGCTTGTCCCTGTGGCCCCTTGGCGGAGGCATGGCCAGGTGGCTCTGTGCACTGCCCTCATCTGCAGGCCCTGCCCCCGCAGTTCCCATTGGCCATGGTTCCTGGCCAATGGGATCTGCAGAGCCAGCGCTCAGGATGGGGTCAGTGCGCAGAGCCCCCATGGCCGCGCCTTTGCCTAGGAGCCGCAGGGAAATGCCAGCCATTTCTGGGAGCCGTGCAGAGCCACGGCAGGCAGGGAGCCTGCCTTAGCCCCGCTGCACCACCAACCGGACTTTTAATGGCCTTGTCAGCTATGCTGACAGGAGCCACCCAGGTCCCGTTGAACACCGGATGCCTGGCAACCCTAGACAGCACAGGTGTCTCTGAAGGCAGAGTGAGGACTGCTGGCCCCTTGTGAGGAACGCTTTGGGCTGCAAACCAAGTGCTCTGAGTCAGGAATCACCAAGACGACGGCCATGGGAGCCCACGAGGCCATTCTTACATGCACACAGAGCACCCGCCAGGGCCGCCTCCCCTAGCATTTGCGCTGAGTGCGCCTGTCATCGGGGCACAGTTCCCCCATCTGCCAGCTCAAGAAGCCTTGTCCCTGAACCCGCCTCAGCCCCCTGCCCTGCCTCTTGGGGTGGAGCAGCTGTAGGAGCAGCCAGAGCTTTGCCCCCTCCCTCAGGAGCAGACCCCATTTTCCCAGGAGGGGTGGAGGGAGCAGAGAGGGCCCAGCAGCTCAGGGCAGCTCTGTCCCTTCATCCCCCTTCAATCCCTGTGAGCAATGGGACAACTCCTCTGCCCCTCCCGCCTTCCCCTCCAGCATCTGGGCTGGGAGGGGGCACAGGGGACTCGCTGCAGCCTCCTCCAAGCCTGGGGAGGGGGGTAAAGAGCCCCTGAGTTGCAGAAGGAGCAGAGCTGTGGCTGGGGCGGAAGTGGGGGAGAGAGGGAGGCAGATGTAATGTTACTTTCAGAGCCCCCCACTTTTTTCTGGCCACTTTGAACACTGAGGCTTGGGAGCCGGTGAGGTTTGTCACTCACACAACATTCGCCATGAGCCAGTGAAGGGCGGACATTGCGCCCGGTCCCCACCTGGGGCTCTGACACATGCCTTGGGACGCTCTCATGAGCCGGACCCAGCCTGGATTTTCCCTGTGGAAATCTGCCTCTCGGTCAGGGCTCCAGGAACTGCAGAACTGGTGCCACGTCCCACCCGCACTCCCCATACTTGCTTTGCCAGCAGTTACATGGCCCACAAGTCCCTGCGGCCCCGCCGGGTGGCAGCCGGCCTGCTTACCCAGCCGGACAAGGCACTCCGTGGCTCTGGCCTGCAGAGGGTGGGCTGCGATGCACGTGAACTCCTTGCCCCCAAGGGTGCTGTTGGACTGCATGACGTAGATGTTGCTGGATGGTTTCAAGCCACCCAGCACGCGGTTCCGCCAGTCTCTCCACCAGAGTGTGACACGGGGCAGGCCTCCCGCCCAGTCGCAGGACAGCATGAGGAATTCGTTCTGCTTCGTAGCCATGGCAGAACAGGTGGGGTTCCCCACGGGGACCCCTGGGGGACAGAGACAGCAGCATCTTAGAGACAAGCATCCCTGCCTACATCTCACCTGGTGGAGATGCTGCACGTCCTATCATACGTGTCCCCAGGTCTCTGCTCTCCCCACATAAACTGGGAAGAATTGGGTGTTTCCATATGCCCCAAAGGCACTTTCTGCCCCAGAACCTCTGACATTCAAACTCTGGGCCTCATGCGGTAAATACCCCAGAGAACCAGCACTCACTGGCCCTGCGGGGAGCTCCATGGAGTTTCATCAGTGTGAGTGAGAGGAGAATCAAGCCTGAGGTACAGTCCCACAGGCTCTCCAGCCCGTTAGCGTTATCTCTACTGAGGGACCAGACCAGGCCATGAAGGAACCAGGAGAAAACATGCCAACATCCCTAACATTCCTCCACACCCCTGGAGACCTCCCTGCACCTCCCATGAGAGTCCTGAGCCCCTGGGTGCTGGGCTAGCTTGCTGACCACAGCACTCTCTGGGGGTTGCACCACCTGTGTCTGCTTCCACGGGACCAGCACGGCCTGCCGAGCCCGTCATCTTAGTCAGGCACAAGCGCCCCTTGGACATTTATGTCGTAACGCTGGGTTGGTTCATTGTGATGGGATGGGATGAGCGACATCATCCCATTGGGCAAAGCCGTCACCGGGACACGATGTGACCTGGCACCACGATGGGGTTTTGCAGGCCCTGGAAGTGATTTCATGGCCAACAGGCACCTCACAAACAAAACCCCTTCAGAGTGAAGTGGTTCTGGAATACAGGCGAGCCTGGAGAGTTAGTCT